TGGAACTATGCAAAGCTTGCTAATCCTGAGGAATGTCATGCCTTGACCTGGCTGAGCCACTGTAATCCTACCTTATGTGTGGTGTATTTCTGACATTTGTAAAGGGGATGTTCTCCTTCTCCATGCCAAAAATGCTAACCTTCAGACTTCCGAGGGGCGGCGCGAACGGCAATGGCGGTCCTCTTCTGAACGGGAGAGGAGGCTCCGCAGACAACGGGTCGTCCGCTACGGCGAAGCGGAGACCCACTCCGGAAAACCCCAGGCAGCAAGAGCTTGGGGTCTTGAGGCTCGGTGGGCGCCTTAAGTGACCCTCCAAACGTGAAAGGAACCTCGTAAGGGGCTCCGGAGCGTGGAGGGGGGTTGCGGCGCTGAGAGCTGCTTCACAGTCTGCGGAGTGAAGCCGCGCTGCTGCTGCCGGTGAGCGCTGATCCTTTTCCTGTTAAAATACGGATTCGGACGAAAAGCAACTTACTCGTGAGTAAAGACTGAATCACTTGAAATTAGAGACTTTAAATGAAAAACCTTAAATTGGCTTGAACTTGGCTGAAAGCGGAGAGACGTGGAAACAGGAAGTCCGTCTTCCGCAGCCATTGAACTTGAAAAAGCAACTAAGTTGGAGGAGTGGAGGCTGAAAGGAAGAGATTTTAAACTTTACAGATCTAAGCATCTACTGAACTTGCAATTTAAAGTAAAGACTTTAAGCTAAAGACTTGGAATTTTAACTTGCACTTGACTTTCCCCTTTTATTGGATTACAAATTAGAAGGTGAAACCCAGAGTCAGGAGCTGCCTGAGCATTGAGAAATTGAGCTGTCAGTATTGCAGATTTGGATACTGTATATTGGAACTTGCAACAATCTGAGGGTATTGAGACTTTTAAGTTTGAAACATTCTTTTTGGAGATAAATAAGCACTGTCTGTAACAAAGTGACTACTTATAAACTCTGCTAAATATTTATATTTGAAGGTTCTTGGACATTAAATTAGACTCTGAAAGACATTTTAAGCTCCCTCTAGAGGATTGGATTAAAACAGTGACTTTACATTTACATTTACTTTCGATTCCCTTGTTGTTTGCTTGCTCTGGGCCTTTCTATTCCCATGGGAAAAACTCAGTGTGACCTTGACTGATAGACAACGTTGGAATGAGTGGCACAAGGAAAAGAGGGAGAGTTAGACAAACAACTTTAACAACTCTAACCTCAGCCTCGCAGACACGTAGATCATCTGTACCTACTTTGCCCTCAGAAGTAGAACTTGAAGAAGTTGCCTTGCCACAGGCAAAAGAGGGAGAGGGTGAAGCAGAGCAGTTACAACTGGAAGATATGGCCTCAGGAGTATCTGTTTCTGTTCTAGACAAAATCTTTGAAAAATTGGAAGCTTTGGACAAGAAAGTAGATGCGCAATCAGCAAAGATTGACAAAAATACAGAATGTCTAAATAAATTAACCATACAAGTTGTACAGAATACACAAGCAATTGGACAGTTAACGGAGGCCTCAGCAGAAAATCGGAAATTGGCTGAGGATACTAGACAAAAATTGGAAAATTTAGAGCAAGAGGTAAGACCACTCACCAAACAAGTTGGGGAACATCAGACTTATCTTTCCATGATAGAACTGCGAAATCGTGAGAATAATTTGAGGATTAGATCATTACAAGAGGCAGAAGAAGGAAATTTAACTGAGTTTTTGACCAAAGAATTTTCCAAGTTCTGGAATTTGGAAGAAAAGGATTTTAAAATTGTGTCGGCTTTCAGACTTGGAAGATTCACAAAGAAGGAGAGGCCCAGAGACTGTTTGATTACATTGAGATCAAAGGAGGAAAGGGATAAGATTTTGGGCCTACATTACGGAAAGTCACTGGAGGTTTTGGACAGAAGAATTGAAATTTATAAAGATATTCCAAGACAACTGCTGGATCTTAGAGCCGCCTATTCTGAACTTGCTAAACTACTAAGGAGCAACGCAATTCCATTCAGGTGGGAATTTCCCCAAGGAATATCTTTTACCTTTAAAGGGAGAAAGGTCAAAGTTAGAACATTGGAAGAGAGAGACAAATTTTTGGCTACATACGGAGAGGACCTTCAAAAAGGAATTGAATTACCTTCTGGGCCTGGGGCAAAGCCAGCATTAACACCAGCACCTGGGGAACCTGAAGATCCAGAGAAGACACCACCCCTGGAGAAATAACCAGATAGATCCAGGATGTCTCTACAATTGCTGAGTTGGAACATTAATGGTTGTAACATTCCGGAAAAAGGGAAGAAAATATTTCATATATTAAAAAAGAACAATTGGACATTATCTGTTTACAAGAAACACATGTGACGAGGCTCCACAGAAAAGTGTTAATAAATAAAAGATTGGGCCAGGAATTTGTTTCGTCGGACAAAGTTAAGAAGAGAGGCGTGGTGATATATGCAAAAGAGAGCCTGTCACCTAAATTCTTATTTAAAGATGAACATGGAAGAATTTTGGCCATTGAGATTACTAGGACTCAATTTCTTGACTTTAAGAAAGCCGACTTCATAAAACTTAGGGAAGTGCTGGGTGAGATCCCATGGACAATAATACTAAAAGGAAAGGGAGTTCATGATGGCTGGGAGTTTGTTAAGAGGGAGATACTAAAAGCACAACGTCAGGCAATACCAATGAGACGGAAACATGGAAGGTGCTTAAAGAAGCCAGGGTGGCTATCTAAAGAACTTTTAACTGAGTTAAGATTCTAAAAGGTTGTGTACAAAACCATGGAAAAGGGGGAAACCACCAAAGAGGAATTCAAACAAATAGCCAGCACGTGTAGACACAAAGTCAGAAAAGCTAAAGCACAGAATGAACTCAGGCTTGCTAGAGAGGTTAAAAGCAACAATCAAGGCTTTTATGGGTATGTTCGTAGCAAAAGGAAGAACCAAGAAACAGTGGGGTCACTCAGAGGAGAAGATGGTGAAATGCAAACAGGGGACACAGAAAGGGCTGAACTCCTCAATGCCTTCTTTGCCTCAGTCTTCTCCGATAAAGAAAACAATGCCCGACCTGAAGAATTTGGAGCAAATGATTCAGCAAAGGAAACACAGCCCAGAATAACTAAGGAGATAGTACAAGAATACTTGGCTAGTTTAGATGTATTCAAGTCTCCAGGGCCAGATGAACTGCATCCAAGAGTATTAAAAGAACTGGCAGATGTGATCTCAGAACCACTGGCAGTCATCTTTGAGAATTCCTGGAGAACAGGCGAAGTCCCGGCAGACTGGAGGAGGGCAAATGTTGTCCCTATTTTCAAAAAGGGGAAAAGAGAGGACCCAAATAATTACCGCCCAGTCAGTCTGACATCAATACCAGGGAAGATTCTGGAGCAGATCATTAAGCAAACAGTCTGTGAGCACCTAGAAAGGAATGCTGTGATCACCAATAGTCAGCATGGATTTCTGAAAAATAAGTCATGTCAGACTAACCTGATCTCGTTTTTGACAGAATTACAAGCCTGGTAGATGAAGGGAACGCAGTGGATGTAGCCTACCTTGATTTCAGCAAGGCATTTGACAAGGTGCCCCATGATATTCTTGTAAAGAAGCTGGTAAAATGCGGTCTTGACTATGCTACCACTCAGTGGATTTGTAACTGGCTGACTGACCGAACCCAAAGGGTGCTCATCAATGGTTCCTCTTCATTCTGGAGAAGAGTGACTAGTGGGGTGCCACAGGGTTCTGTCTTGGGCCCGGTCTTATTCAACATCTTTATCAACGACTTGGATGATGGACTCAAGGGCATCCTGATCAAATTTGCAGATGACACCAAACTGGGAGGGGTGGCTAACACCCCAGAGGACAGGATCACACTTCAAAATGACCTTGACAGATTAGAGAACTGGGCCAAAACAAACAAGATGAATTTTAACAGGGAGAAATGTAAAGTATTGCACTTGGGCAAAAAAATGAGAGGCACAAATACAAGATGGGGACACCTGGCTTGAGAGCAGTACATGTGAAAAGGATCTAGGAGTCTTGGTTGACCACAAACTTGACATGAGCCAACAGTGTGACATGGCAGCTAAAAAGCCAATGCAATTCTGGGCTGCATCAATAGGAGTATAGCATCTAGATCAAGGGAAGTAATAGTGCCACTGTATTCTGCTCTGGTCAGACCTCACCTGGAGTACTGTGTCCAGTTCTGGGCACCACAGTTCAAGAAGGACACTGACAAACTGGAACGTGTCCAGAGGAGGGCAACCAAAATGGTCAAAGGCCTGGAAACGATGCCTTATGAGGAACGGCTAAGGGAGCTGGGCATGTTTAGCCTGGAGAAGAGGAGGTTAAGGGGAGATATGATAGCCATGTTCAAATATATAAAAGGATGTCACATAGAGGAGGGAGAAAGGTTGTTTTCTGCTGCTCCAGAGAAGCGGACACGGAGCAATGGATCCAAACTACAAGAAAGAAGATTCCACCTAAACATTAGGAAGAACTTCCTGACAGTAAGAGCTGTTCGACAGTGGAATTTGCTGCCAAGGAGTGTGGTGGAGTCTCCTTCTTTGGAGGTCTTTAAGCAGAGGCTTGACAACCATATGTCAGGAGTGCTCTGATGGTGTTTCCTGCTTGGCAGGGGGTTGGACTCGATGGCCCTTGTGGTCTCTTCTAACTCTATGATTCTATGATTCTATGATTCTATGATTCTATGAGATACAATATCAAGGAGAGAAACTGTTGATATTAGGAATCTATGCACCTAATGAAGGGAAATCGGAATTTTACAAGAAGCTGCAGGGGACAATGCTGGAATATCTGGATTACAACAACATCATAATGATGGGAGACATGAACGGGGTCGTGTCAACTAACATGGACAAGTCACAAAGTCAAAATGTTACAAAAGACGGCAGACTACCTAAAACTTTTTTGAAATGACTGACAATATGGATTTGATTGACATTTGGAGGACAAAGAACCCACTAGGTAGAGAAGGAACATTCTTTTCTGAAGCCCAACTGACCTGGACAAGAATCGACCAAATATGGATTTCCAGAGGCCTGGCACCTAAGGTCAGAAAAGTGGAAATCTGCCCAAAGACCTGCTCTGACCATAATGCAGTAAAGATGGATATGACACTACTACCAACTGGATCCTTTAGATGGAAGATGAATGACAATTTGTTTAGAGATCAGGAAATTACCAAGAAGGCCCAAAAAGTTTTGAAGGACTATTTTGAGATAAATATGAACAATTCGGTGGAAAAAAGAATTGTCTGGGACGCAAGCAAAGCTGTAATGAGGGGATTCTTGATACAACAGAATGTAGTAAAGAAAAGAACACAAAATGAGAAAAAAGATAAGATCTTGGACAAATTAAAAGAATTAGAGAAGAAATTAAGAGCGAATCCAAAGTCACAGCCAACTCTGAGAGAAATTAAACTCTATCAAACACAATATTCTAAATTGATAAATCAGGAAATTGAATGGAAGGTTAAATTAATGAAACATAAAACGTTTGAGTCGGCGAATAAATGTGGAAAACTGCTAGCTTGGCAGTTGAAGAGAAGACAAAGATTAAACACGGTTACAAACTTAGAGGTTGATGGAAAAAACATTCAGAATCCAGTGGATATTAGAAAGTGTTTCCAGAGATATTTTAAAAAAATTATACACCCAAGGGCCGCAAGACGAAGTCGAGATCAAACAATTTTTGGCAAAAATGGATTATCTAAATTGTCACAAGAAAACAGGACAATCCTGAACTCTAAAATAACACGACAGGAGATTGAACAAGCTATTCAGAACATGCAACTTGGCAAATCTCCAGGGCCAGATGGGCTGACCTCCAAGTATTATAAGACATTAAAAGACTATTTGATACAACCCTTGATGGAGGTCTGCAATGAAATTATGGAGGGGAAGAGGGCACCGGATTCGTGGAAGGAAGCGTTCATCACATTAATACCAAAGTCAGAAGCTGAAAAGACACAACTGAAGAACTACCGTCCCATCTCTCTTTTAAATGTGGATTACAAAATATTTGCAGATATTTTGGCAAGTAGATTTTTAAATGAAGTAATTCATAAGGACCAGGCCGGTTTTCTCCCAGGTAGACATCTGTTTGCTAACACAAGGAACATTATTGACATCTTGGAACTTCTGCAAACAGATATAAATACAAAAGCAGTTTTAATTTTCATAGATGCGGAGAAGGCCTTTGACAATATTTCCTGGAAATTTATGATGGGAAATTTAAAAGAGATGGGAGTGGGACGGGGTTTTGAGAATGGGATTGAGGCGATATATTCAGAACAGAAAGCTAAACTGATAGTTAATAATGTGGTCACAGAAGAGTTCAAAATTGAAAAAGGGACACGACAAGGTTGCCCTATCTCCCCTTTGTTATTTATTTCGGTTCTGGAAGTGCTACTGAACATGATTAGAGGGGATCGGTTGGTTGAAGGAATTCAGGTTGGTCAGAAACAATATAAACTAAAAGCTTTTGCAGATGACCTGGTTTTGACCCTGCAGAAGCCAGAGCCCAGTACGAAAAGAGTATTACAATTGATTAATGATTTTGGTCGGGTGGCGGGATTTAAATTAAATAAACAGAAAACTAAGGTTTTGGGGAAAAATTTGACTGATACAGAGTCAGAACGGTTTCAGAATGAGACGGAACTTAATGTGGTTAAAAAGTAAAATACCTAGGGGTAAACATAACAGCAAAAATCTAAGTCTATTTAAGGATAACTATGAAAAATGTTGGACAGAAATTAAGAGAGACTTAGACAGTTGGTCAAAATTGAAACTTTCTTTGTTAGGCCGAATTGCTGCTATTAAGATGAATGTATTGCCAAGGATGTTGTTTTTATTTCAAACACTTCAGGTTTTGGACAAAACGGAGTGCTTTCAGAAGTGGCAGAGAGATATTTCGAAGTTTGTCTGGCAGGGCAAAAGCCCAGAATCAAGTTTAAGATATTAACTGATGCAAAACAAAGAGGGGCTTTGCCCTGCCGGACTTAAAGTTGTATTATGAAGCCGCAGCGTTCTGCTGGCTAAAAGACTGGCTACTTCTTGAAGACACTGATGTGTTGGATTTGGAAGGGTTTAATAATGTTTTTGGATGGCATGCATATTTATGGTATGACAAAGTTAAAGCAAATAAGGCCTTCAAGAACCATATTGTCAGAAAATCATTGTTTAATGTCTGGACAAAATATAAAGACTTGCTGGAAAATAAAACACCAAGGTGGCTTTCACCTTTGGAAGCTAAGGCCCGAAAAAGACCCAATATGGAGGCTAAATGGCCAAAATATTGGGAAATACTAGAAAAGATGGAGACAATTGGAAATTGCAGAGTTTGGAGAAAATGAAAGACAAAGTGCGAGATTGGTTACATTACGCTCAGATTAAAGAAGTTTTTAAAAATGATAAGAAACTAGGGTTCCAGGTGGAGAAATCGAAATTAGAAACAGAATTGTTAGAACCAAAGACTAAGGTACTTTCAAGGATGTATAACTTGCTGTTGGAATGGAATACACAAGATGAAATGGTTAAATCGGCTATGATAAGGTGGGCACAGGACATTGGGTATAATATTATGTTTGAGGACTGGGAAAAGTTGTGGAGTAATGGATTGAAATTTACTGCATGTAACGCTCTGAAAGAAAATGTAATGAAAATGATTTATAGATGGTATATGACCCCAGTTAAACTTGCAAAAATTTACCACCTGTCTGATAATAAGTGTTGGAAATGTAAAGAGTGTGAGGGAACGTTCTTCCACCTCTGGTGGACCTGCCCTAAAGTGAAGGCGTTCTGGGAAATGATTTATAATGAATTGAAAAAGGTATTTAAATATACCTTTACCAAGAAACCAGAGGCTTTCCTTCTGGGTATTGTCAGCCAAGGGGTGGCAAAGAAGGACCAGACATTTTTATGTATGCAACAACAGCAGCAAGGATACTTCTTGCAAAACATTGGAAAACTCAAGATTTACCCACACTGGAAGAATGGCAGATGCAACTGATAGACTACATGGAACTGGCTGAAATGACCGGCAGAATCCGTGACCTGGGAGAAGAGAGAATCGAGGAGGATTGGAAGAAATTTAAGAACTATCTACAAAAATATTGTGATTTGAGTGAATGCTAAATAAGATGCTAGACTAAATAACTGAGCACCACTTAACTTAGAAGTTTTTAAGAAAATAAGTAAGACTGTGAAAGTTTAACTCTCTATGAGAACTATAAGATTATGAAACATTGAAGAGATATAAGAATTTAAATAAGATGATAAATTGCTGACAAAATGTTATAACGATGAAAGTGGGAGCGGGGGATGTGAGGAAGTCCAAAGAAAATGTGAAACTATGTTAAGACAAATGTTATATTGTTTATTATGTTTATTCTTATTGTAAAACCCAATAAATTGCTTTAAAAAAAAAAAAAATGCTAACCTTCGAAAGGAGGGATTTCTCTTTGTTCTGGGTCTCTCACTTCCTTGCAAGGAGGGTGGGGGACTCAGTCACAACAGAAAAATAAAGACCTGCCTTGTTTCCCACTGGATCCTGCCTCCACTCATTCTTCTCTGACTGATCATTGACTTAGGGGACTCAGAGACCCTTGGATAGTTGGGCAGAAAAAGCCAAATCCCAAATTTTCTACATCACTACACACCCTCCTCATTCCAGATAAGCAGGAGGCACTATCAGAATTCAGGAACCTGTTCCAACCAGGCAAAAATACTTTTCATATTTGAGATGTTTATTAATGGGGGTGAAGGAAAGGTTAATTTTTAGCTGGGTGGCAGACAGGACTTTGCAGAAACCAACTTTTGCCTCTCATCTCCCTGTCTCTCCCCCCACCAGGTGCATCTCTGGATACAGGGGGCTGCATAGGGGGAAAAGAGGAAGGTTTGGCAGCCTTCCTCTTATAAATTATACCATCACAGATATAGGATTGCCAGTCTGAAAGGGACAAGGGGGTTCATTCAGACTGACTGCCCCCCAACCTCATAATGATATGCAGACAGCTTTCTCCTATCTTTCTCTGGTTCAGATTAAATCCAAACTGGAGGAGAGTTTATGGGAGTACAATGTTTCCCCTCATATCTGTGGTGAGCAAGCCACAGAACACAGAAAACAAAGTTTAGGAGATTTCTTTACTCCTCACAAGTCAATCAGGAATTCCAGGCATGATTGTTTCCAAGGATTCAGTCTGTGGACATTTTAACAGGACATTTGGCTCTTTGTCTGCCACCTGGGTCTTTACAACTCCTCAATGTCAGTAAAGCACAGCATGATGCTGGCTCCCTGGGAGCTTGAGGCGCCACGGAGTCTCAAAAGTAGTTGCAGAGGAAGCTCAAATATGCTTCAAACACCTTCTTGGTGGAGTTGAGCCTTCGTACAAAACTATAAAGAAAGAAATAATCTAGTACAATGGTACCTTGGTTCTCAAATTTAATCCGTTCTGGAAGTCCTTTCCAAAACCAAGGCGTGCTTTCCCATAGAAAGTAATACAAAATGAATCAATCCGTTCCAGACTTTTAAAAATAACCCCTAAAATAGCAATTTAACATGAATTTTACTATCTAACGAGACCATTGATCCATAAAAGAAAAGCAATAATCAATGTACTGTACTATAAAATAAATAAGACAGTATTGTAGATGAAAAAAAATTTAAATTATTATTATTTTCTTACCTGCACTGATGATTGTCATTGTTTGGATGGGGGGCTTTTATCCATTTCTGCAGTCACACAATCAATCAATCAATTTAATCGAAAAAGCCTCAAAAACAAAAACGCCAAATAAATAACCAAAACAAAAGTGCCAGACTTAATCAGTTCCGGAAGTCCATTTGACTTCCAAACTGTTCTAAAACCAAGGCACAACTTCTGTTTGGTGCAGGTGCCCCAAAAACAATAGCTGATGGCCGCATCGGATGTTTGGCTTCTGAAAAACATTCGAAAACCGGAACACTTACTTCCGGGTTTTTGGAGTTTGAGAACCAAAGTGTTTGAGAACCAAGGCGTTTGAGAACCAAGGCACCACTGTATGTCTTTGGTGGAGCCCTGAGCAACTCTCCTAGATACTGAGGCACTGATGCCTAGAAACACTCTTTTTGCTCTGCAAGTTCAAGAGAGCATAAGTGTGTGGTCAAGGTGAGTATGCAAAGTACAGTGTGCTCTGAAGGGACAATCAAAGCTAGCAACTAACAGAGCAATCCTAATCACAGAAAAGGCCTCTTGAATTCAATGGGGCTCAATTATTTAGTAAGCAGTGTTAGTATTGTAGTCCTGCTGGCTGCAGTCCTAAAACTGCAATCTTAAGGAGTGAGTCCCACTGAATTCAATAGGACTCACTTCTAGGTAGACGAGAGGACTGGGCTTTATGG